AAGTCTTCAAGACTTCACTCAGCTATCAGCAAAATACAGCTTATAAACATTCTCCTTTTGCTATCTTTTATTCTATAAACCAGTGTAGAAAAGACATACTTTGATTACTGCATTTGCTTTCTCTCCTAAGCTGTATGTTTCCTTTTTTTTTTCCCTCCTCCTTCTTCCTCCCCCCAGTTAATAAAGCTTACTTGTATAATTGTGGATTGAGAGACTAGAGAACTGCAAAAGTCTTATTTCAAATAGCTCACAATTATCATTTAGACTTTTGTTAGCTTTTGTGCTCACAGGTCAATACTGCTCTCAACTATTTCAGATTGGAGGAAAAGCTTCAAAATGTCACTATTTATTATACTTTCACATGAGATGCATCTTGTTCCAAGATACCAATTATTTTTATGTTAATGGATTGCTCCAACAGCAGTGATTTTTTCCATGCTGGATGCCTGCTACAAAAAGAGAAACACCGTAAAATGCTAGATAAATTAAAACTTGACTTCTCATGTTATGTTTGTTAATTTAAGGGATAAAGCTTTTGGAAAAATATGCATAAAGCATTCAAAATACAGTATGAAAAGTGAGCCTATTTCAGTCCTCAGAAATAAAACACCACATTTTTTCCCTTCTGCACCCATCCATCTTCACTTCCAGCTGCAGGCACTGACAGCAGCTGCCTGTGTGGGAGAACGAGATTGCCCAGGCTGCGCCAAGTTAATGATGCAGAGCAAGACTTTTTTAATTTACTCTTTTCAGCAGACAACTTTTGTTCTTTTTTCCCCCCAAATCTCAAAAGAGAGAGAAGGAAGGAACTGTGCAGAGAAAACCAACAAGAAGAATCTGTCTGCTCCAGTCCTTGCATACTGGGAGGCAGCAAGGCAGCTCCTTAGCCATGCACAGCCTTTAGGAGGGATGGGATTTAGGGACTGCTGGGGAAAAAACTCTTGAAAATTATCAGCTGCTCACATCAAAGCAAGCATTGCATGGTGAGCAAAAATGCTGCCCTTGCAGACGGGAGGGCAGGGAGCCCTCTGTGCCTGCACAGACTCTCATGGGGCTTGGCAGAGAACACATCCCAATACATTCATTGCACTTTTACTCCCTTTAGGTTACTCCATAGCTGTCCTTTCCCAACAGAAACCACCTCCCTGGGCACCAAGATGGTTTCAGAGGTCATGGAGAGATGGAGATGATACTTGTTGTGGTCTGTCAGTGCATAACAGCTTGAGGATGCCTCCAGACAGAGGTTTCAACATGCTCTTCCCAGTAGCACCAGGGTGAGATTTCCTTCCTGGTCATAACCCACATCTGCCCTCCTTTGAGGTATCTGTGTCTACTTAGAAGCATTTCCAAAAACCTTGATGTTGCTCTGTTGGCAATGACAGCCGGTTTCCCCCACAAAGCCAGTGGAGGAATCTGAGGTTCCTCTGCTCTCCTCCATTGACCATAACCTCCCCTCCATGTTTCCAACGGGACACCGAGCCACAAGGCTCAGCAAAGCAGAAGAGAAGCTAAACTGAAAAGGGAGTTGCACAGGGCAAACCAGATGGAGGAACCAAACCAAGGTCAGAACATGGGTGACCAGGGCATCCCATCAATGTGGAGTCCTGCTCCAGTTTGCTCTAGACCAACAGCCTTTAATGTGGCCACTGCCACACACGTGGGTGAGAGCAGGAGAGGACTTCCAGGTTGTGGTTACAACAGCTGCATCGATATTCACCTCTTTGTAAACATAACCTGCCCTTGCTGCTCGGAGTCACTTCAGATTATTCATATCGATTCAGCACTGTTAATGATTAAACACAAGCTTTGGAGAACATTTAACAGGAAAGCTTGATTGGATTTACCACAGTTTTGAGGCTGGGTGGGGTGTCTGCAGTTCGGTTGTTTTGTTGTTGTTTAATTTTGCCTTGCAGAAAATGACATGATGTTCTAAGTCAAGAATTACCTTCTTGGCTTTTTATAAAATCCTTCCATCTCTGAAGGATCAACGTCCTCCTACTTAACCAAACTATTAATACACTGCACACCTCATCGCTGTCCCTGCACCCCTATCCACCAACAGCCATCACAAGGATGGCAGGGATGGCTCATGCTTCCTTTTCTGCAGAGGTACTTGATTTTTTGGGTTGTCTTTTGTTTCCTCCAAGGTATGAATGGCAAAGAACAAAACATAAATGGCTTCTTCTAAGAGATAGAAGCCATAGAGATGACATTGAAATGAAAGTGGAGAGGGAAGCCAAAATAGATATTAAGAGGGTTTCTGGTCAAAAGCCTCTTGAAATACAAGATTAGCAGATACAGACTTTCTCCCCCCCCACCTTAAAGTTTAGTCTATAAAATGCTTGTTACCATAGAAAACTAGACTTTCTGATAGGCTGCAGCTCAGCAAGACTGAGGCTCAATCCGCCTTAAGGAACAGCAGACCAACACTTTCTGGGGACCACCTGGTCAGCGGGAATTCACAGTGCCACTGCACTGGGGGGGACAATCGGTCAATGTTTCGCCGACCACAAACTAGTCCCAGCCCAACACCGCATGCATTAGCAGTAATGTGATTTCTGCACGCTCATGGCTGTGCGTGTGATGCTGCTGCCAAGTCTCTGCTCCAAGAAGAGACACATAAAAGCACCCCAGAAGTCTGAGGTTACATCTGGTTAGACCCAATGGGATGAAAGCCATTTCAGGATGTATAGTGACCCTCATCCAGCAGTGTCACAGCAGAGCCAGCACATTAGGACACCTGTCAGGGCTAATTTAGGCAACAGAGACCTCCTGCCTGGCGCCCTCCTCCACTTTGCACTGAGCTCACATCGTGTCAAATGAAATCTGCTGGAGCAGGGCACGGGGAGAGGTTTTAATGACAAGACTGGATAAGGAACAGGCTTGCTGAGCTGCTTTGTCACACACAGCTCTGTGGGTTTATTTTTGGTGTCTTCTGCCTAACTTCCACCTGTGGACTTTGGAACCAGCTTCACACCTAGAGCTTTCCACATCCCCAGGGGCACAAAACACTTAAGGCTTCTCCTAGAGACCTGCCTTGCAAAGCTGAGCTGTTACCTTCTTGTGAAAGGCAGGTCATCAGAAAAAGGAAAACCAGAGTTCAATGCCTAAGCAGCCTGTGTGCTGGTTAAAAAGAAACAGGCAGAAACAGTTGCTTTCTGACCTGCCAAAGTGCAAATGCTTTGAGTTTTAAATATGAGTTTTCTGATCTCACATCTGCAACCAGGCTCAGGATGAAAACCCTAAGCCTGCAGCTGTAATAGCCAGGTAGGTTCTAGCCAAGCTCTCGCATTACACCTGGCCATCAACACACCATGTGGACAGAGGAAGAAAGTTGGAAAGGTTGGTTTGCTCCTCTAGGAGAGCTATTACTAGAACTACTTTAGCTTTCCTCTTATTTCCTACTGCCAGAGGCTACCTTGATTTTTGATTCAGGATCATTCATGGAAAAAACACACAGAAGAGGGACAGAATGCACTTTAAAAACAAGAGATTGAAGACAAATTTATGGAACATCCTCTGTGCAAAAGCAAGAGGAATCCTTCCAGCTCCAAAAAGATCCTGCTGTGATTTGCACGGGAAATGAACCTGGAGAGGAAGAAAGTAGGTGTGCAATTTCTCATCCAACGATAGGATCAGGCAGCCAATAATACACTTTTCAAGATTATGTTGCAGTTAGTTTAATTTAACATCAGAGCCTCCTTTTCGTTATTGTGCCATGAATTCCTCCAAGGCTTCATCAGACTCCAACTATCTCTTCACAGTTACTGTTTTCCAGCCCAGGGGAAGCCAGCACCATGCAGCCAGCTCTCTGGGCAGCAGGTTATAAAAGCAAGTTCTTCTCCTGCCCTTTGCAAAGCCATAGGCAAGAGGTTTTTCTTACTAGCCTTAAAACTAAATGAAAAAAACCCACTAAGTGAAAGAATAAGTAAGCAAATGAAGCAGTTGGTGCTTGATTGCACAGATTCTTCACCAGCAAAACCCAGTCCACTGGTTGAATATGGTGCTGAATTCCACAGGAGCTCACAGGCCCTCAGCTGTGGCCACCACCTCCCCTTCATCCTCAGCACGGCTCAGATATTGCCCCAGAACTGGAGCTTCTGCTCCCTCGGCAGCTCTGCTGCAGAGCTTTGCAATTCCAGACAAGGGACACAGAGTCAGCCAGGCTCGACCAGCCAGACACGCTCCTCAGCTTGATAAATCTCAATAGCAGTTACTGTTTCAGCTCTTTCACGAGCCTGGTTAAGATATATTATCCACCTTTTGCTTTCAGTCCGTCTCCTTCTTGTTTTGCCTTCTTGTCAAGAACTTGGCCTTCTAACTCAGAGAACTTATTTCTTCTTTTCTCAGACTACATGAGAAGAGGCTCCAGAGAGTTTTACACCAAGAAGTGAGATTTCTCACAGACACTGGTGGTTTTGGATACGCAGCTCAAGACCACAACTAGTCCTACTGATGATGGAGTAAGAACACTAGTCCTAGAGACAGTTAGATTTACAAGGGGGCTGATAAAGCCCTGTCTGCCAGCAAACACATCTCCATCCCCTAGCACAGTACTGCTAAACCTGGTTTCCAGCTCTCTTTAAAGGCACCTGGAGATGAGCAGACAATAAAAGAAACCAGAAAGCCCTCCAGGCTCCTGACAAAATGACCTTTATTTACTGTGGCAACACTACAGCTCTGTTCAAAACATCCTCAGACACCCAAGGCAAAAGAAAAACTCATTTTCTTTATTGCTACTTCTATAAGAGTTAGTTGTCTGGAAATACTCCCAGTTTTTCCTATCCTAGGATTTTTCCCCCCCTCTCCAAACCTCATCTTATCTAAGTCCTGAGCAATGCCAGAATGAAACCAAAGCTAGTGCAAGCTCCAACTACACCAGCAACAGGCATGTTCCCATAACAACTCCTGCTCCAGCCAAGCAGAATCAAAGACAAATCCTTCCTTCTCAGAGCACTCGCTCCCTAAACATTCAGCACAGCCCTCCCTTAGGCTCTTACCTCCTTCCTCGAGCTGAGTTTCAGAGCAGACCCTCCTAACAAGAGCACCATTTCTCTTTTGCATGCCTTACAGCCTGCTCTTCAGAAAACAGATATCTACTTTGGTTCCCTCTGCACTGTGCCCTAAATCCTCAAAAAATCAGAGCTATGAATTAGGATCATCTGTGAAGCATTTAAAGCCTCATCTGTGTAATGAGTGACTGCTGGGAGGAAACCATGGGAGGCAGCACTGGCTGCCCAGGTGTAAGGGGCTCTGCTAAAACCCATCCCTGGTTTTATTCTACTGCAAATCTCTTCCTAGGATTTAGTTACTGGTTGTGGGGGACAACTATAGCCCTGCTGCTAATGTAGTAAGTGTTCCTCTAGCTTGAAAACCCTGTCCCATCAGTCACTGGATGTATGTCACTGAAGATGTCACTAATCACTAACACAGAGAGAAATATATCTGCCACTAAAATTTATGTCTTATTACGGCATATAGATACATCTCAAATATCTCCATCCAAAGCTGAAAGGAAATTTCCTGCTCAGAACTTTTTTTTTTTTTTTTCCGTATTTTGAGGAGAAGAGGGAAATGGCAGGAAATAGGGAGATCTGCACAAGTGAGGCCGGAGGACCCTTTGCAGGGTCTGCATCACTGCATCCCTCAGCATGCAGCACCCCTCGCTGCGCTGCTGGAAGGACGTCGAGCACCTCCAGCCCATGGAGCTGCTCTAACTGCTCCGTCCCTGGTGCGGGCACCCAGGACGGGATGAGAGCGGGACCAGGCTGCCGAGGGATGAAGGTTACGGCCAGGCATGAAGGGCACTTCTGTCAACAGACCGACATCTGCCCGTGCCAGGAGCGGGTCACGGAGCCTCCTCCAGCAGGCGCTGCCTGGGAAAGATGAACCCCAAAAAGGGGATGGAAAAACAGCCCTGACATGAACCTGCATTCCCTGCTGGAAAGTCTGGTGGGAAATTCAGACACAGGTGCAGGGCTCGGTGAGTCAGGTTCCTTTTTCTCCTCTCTAATAATACCACGGAGAAAAGGGTTCCCAGGAGTTTGGGGCTGGGTTATGTGAGGGCATGGGGGAATGTGAACAGGGGAGGTTTCCAGGAAAAAGCAGAGCTCTGATAAGTCTGCTAATTGTCCTTGAATAGCTATAGGGGCTTCAGTGATGTTGGACTTACACTGATGTAACTGAGAGGGGAGATTCTCTTTGGACCTGACCCACTGAACACCCCTCCCTCCAAACCCCCAAAACCAGATACATATAAACATAGCAGTAAAAGGTCCCTAAAAGGAGAATCCTTTCTAGTGCAGCTGCATCCCCAGAACTCCTGTGGAAATCCCCATATCCAACATTTTTCAATTCCAGGGGAAGAAAAGCCAGGCAGGAATGTACTGGGAAAAGCTGTGGCGGGGAAATTGGTTCTGCAGAAAGAAATCCGCTCAGCTTGGCAGGAGCTCTATTTATCTCTTAAAGTCGTTAGTCTCAGTTTCTCCCAGGGGAGCATTATTGGAGCTCATTAGGAGCCCAAAGACAAACGAACCTTTGTCACACGCCAAGAGGGCAGGCAGGAGTGCCAGCCTGCTGGTCCCCACAGTGACACGAGGGACGCCTTGTGCTGCGAATGCCATAAATGCCATGCCAGGGGACAATATGACAGTGCCACTCAGAGACCCGACTTCTCGGTGCCTCTGCACCCAGGGAGGCATCCAGGGTCTGGAGGCAAAACTCCATCCACTGCTGGAGCAAACCTCCCCTCTCCCTGCACCCTTTCCCATAGAAATCCAGGCTTAGGCTGCTCCGAGGGTCAGCAGACCTCCAAGAGTCACCCATGGCTGGTGGCAGCCCCAAATAACCCAAGCCCTGAGCTCCTGTCCCAGCACAGCATTGATTCTGTCCCTTTTGGCACCTTTGCATTTGCCTTGTCATTCCTGCCCTTACCTTGCTGCTACGGATGGTCCCCAGCCTTGAGCTGGGCTAGTCCTAGCACTGGCTTTAGCGAATGCTGCTTGTCTCAACAGGCCTGGTCCTGCTCTCCTGCCTGCTTGGTAGAATGGGCGCTGGGAAGGAATATTCCTGCTGTAGGCTCATGCTCCCATGAGGTTGAATTACTCAGATATTGACTACATTAGCTAGTCAGATATTGACTCATCACACAAGAACACGAGCAGGACGATCTCAGCAACTGCCTTATTACTAAGTCTGTTAAAAGAGAATCGCTCCCTGTTTGCTTATCCCCAAAAAGCTGAATATTCAAAAGGTCAGAAGGATGTCTCAGCATGACTCAGCCAAGACACATATACCTACGATCAAAGGGATGATGATTCCAATTAGCAGTTCCTGCAGTGCTGGGCATTTTACATATGGGATATACACTACTTGATGTTTCATCCTCAGATAATCCCTCTAAGATTCCAGGTCTCTGGAACTGCTGCCATCCCAGCCTCCCTGCAGCCACATTGGCTCCCCGAGCAGAGCAGAAAGAAACCACATCCGGAAAGAAGAGGTTGCTCCAAGGATTTGTCTACACGCGCCAAATGCAACAGGTTCCCCGAGGAAATAATGATGGGCTATTAATAATCTGTATCACTGCAGGTCCCTCAGGGACGCCCAGGGCACCCACATTAATTCACTATCAGCACATTAGGATTCATGTGGGCACGAGAGAGGATACATTCAAGAAATGAATAGCGATGAGGCCATTACTTAATTGCACTTTATGAAAGTGCTGACTTGTTCTCAGGTGATATTAGCGCGGCCAGCAGCAAGGTTGCACACAGGCCAGGACTTAGTGAATCACACGGACTTCCAAGCAGCAAAACCTTCATGGATACAGGCTCTTACCTGGTACAAGGCATCAAATCCCTGCCTGATGGTAGATAGGAAACCACTCTAGGACAGTGCTAGGACTGCGTGAAGACCCCCTCTCTATTCAAGTAGGTGGCAACTCGTAGGAAAGGGGCACTTGACACCATCTCTGCCTTGAGTCCAATATCCTGTCTCCAGTCATGGCACCTGATGTCCCAGAGGAAGATGGGGAATATACAAACAAGCAAGTACTGGCCAAATGCGCAAGGTTTTCCTGTTCCTCAGCCAAGCTAATAATAGAGCAGGATCCAAGCCCTTGTTGCCACATGGTATTTTAAGTTGATCCCAGTTCATTCAAGGGAGGCAAATGACTGCATGGAGCAGGCTGGTTCCCCGGGCCTTGGGAAGGTGGGAAGTCTGCAGAAAGGCAGTGCTGGTGGAGGAAAGACCCCTCGCATTGCTCTCTGATACCCTCATCTGGCTGAATCTGGAAGCTCAATCTCCCAATGGACAAGACAAAGTCCCAGGGACATCCTCAGCAGTGTTTAGGGCAATGTGCAGTGCCTAGGCTGCCCTTAAAGAGGAAAGAGAGAACATGAAATGTCTTGGGAGACAATGTAACCTAGGATAGATATGCACTCTTTCTCCTCACTGTCTGTGTGAAAGAGTAAAATGAGGAGAACTGAGCTAGGAGGGCCCTTCTACACCCCAAATGGATGGATAGCTGAGCTTTGCAGGAAATGCATCTTCATGCAGAAAGAAGAGCAAGGAGACAAAATGGCTTTGGAAGAGGATGTACTGTCCTGACTCCAACAGCTACAGGGTGCTGAGCTGAGGAAATTCATTTTAAGAACATGTTTGCTTCCTTCAAAGTTATGCAGTGAAGTGGTTCCCTATTAAAAGCAATCTTGCAGAGGCAGCTGCCAGTTTTGTACTGAGTCGCCCCAGTTGGCTCGGCAGCCCCCAGCTGCGGGCTGGGGATGCTGCTCTGGTACATTCTGTAATTGTCAATCAGCTCTATACAGTGTGCAGCAACCCCAGGAATCGATGCTTAAATAAGCACAGGGAAATCTTAACTAATGAAATGGGTGTTCGTTTCTATTCCGGGGACTGGCTTGTTCTCTTGTTCCTAAGAAGTATCCTGCATTTATCTGTGTACTGAAGTAGAGGCGAGTGTGGCAGTTGTGACTCCCTTGCTCTGCTTTAGCCAAAATCTTCCCCACGCCACATGTAGCAGGGCATCCTGCACTGGAACCGCTCTGTTCTCAGCACTCAGCCAGTGCCGTGCTGCTCCACAGCTCCAGGACCGCGGCTGCAGATTGGTGCCAGGGGTGAAGGTGAAAAGAAAGGTGGAAAGAAAGGAAGAAGGTGGGAAGAAACACTAACAAAGCTTTCTGCTATTTGGGCATGTATTTGGGCATGTTCTGCTATATGACCTGAGCACCATGGGGGCTAATGGTCCCGTCTCCCTGTAGCACTCAAGAAGAGAGAGGCAACTGCGGGCAGAGCAGGGGCTGCAGCAGCAGATGATGTGTGTTTGCTCCCAGAAAGTTGAAAACATCTTTCCTTGGAAGCCTTCCAGGTACTTGCCTGGTGGTGCCTGATGCCAGAAAATGCTTCTCCTCCTCTCCCGGCCTCTTCCTTCCTTCAGGGCCTCCCCAGGTGAAGATGCAGGATGCTTTGCACTGCACCACGTGTGGAGAGCAGCCTCAGTGCGCAGGGCACCACTCAGCACTCACAAACACCCCGTCATTGCCTTGACCACGGGTGGTATTTATGGACGTTGTGCTCGGGATCTGCTCCTGCCCAGAGCAGCAAGGGGAGGCCCCAGAGCTGAGCTCAGCCCGGGGGCAGCGCTCCCCTCTCCACAACAAGCTCCTTGGAATCTGGAGCGCGCTAATCCTTCCTGCCCTCAAGCAGGCTCCAGAAATAGTGCAGAGCCCCGCAGAGCCCGGCCTCGCCAGCAACAGGTGCCGGGCTCGGGACCACGGTCCCGCTGCCGCCATCCGGGCTCTGCAGAGCGGCCGCCCGGGAGCGAACACGGCAGCACGGGCAGCTGCCCCGGCCTTTGGAGCCGTTTCACGGCAATCGGTGGAAAGTAAAATGTCCTGCACCTACCACACTGACCTCTTCTTCCTTCCCTGTGAGGAAAGGGGAAGTGGGATGTTTTTTTCCAAGATTTTCCACTTGGCCATTTCCAGCTCACGCTGCAGGCAAGCTCTCCCATAGAGCTGGTGTTTTATCTCACGTAGTGACCTTGCAAATGAGGCTGCCTTTTCCTCG